ACCACGTCGCATTGGACACCGGACAGCCTTGACATGCCTCCGAAGTGGAGGGTACCAGATCCCAGATCAGCATGTCTGTAGCCCCAGGGACGGACCGAATACGACAGCACCTCCATAAGTCGTCACAGTGGGGACCAAAACAACAGTCGGTTGAACGGTCTCCTCAAGCGGGAGGTGTCCGGAGACCAGCCGTCCCTAATCGAACATCACATCATCTGGAGGGGTGTTGCCTGCAGGACACAGACCAAAAGAAGCCATGCCCTGATTGGTCAGAATACCGGCCAATCCGGATCGAGCATCTTTGACACGACGCTTCTCGTCCCCTCACGGAGGTCTCAGCACGACCTTGCGGAACATTGTTTTCACCCTATAAGTACGGTTGTAATAATTTCCTTTGTCTCCAGGAAGGGCTGTGTAGAGCTACCGTGCCTTTTGATATACCATAGTGGGCGGAGCAGAAAGGGACCAATACAGAGTTGCACTACCCTCAGCAAGACACAACACATTTATGCTAGTCTTCGCGCTGACAAGCTTACTGCCCCGCGTTGGGAACTTGGAGAGCAGTCCTACATCCTTTTTTCACTCGTGCCTTTCAGACGAACGACAGCCACTGAACGACAAGTATAAAATCGACACGGGAAACTAGGGCGAAATCCTCGATCATGTGTATCAATCCGTGAATCCTTGACTCCTGCCAAGTTGAAGCAGTTGTACGTTGCTTGTAAGCTTTTCAGTATTTATTGGCTTCGATTAAAGAGGGGATTTCCATTCTAGCTGGTAAACAGGCCAAAAAAATGATGAGCAAAGTAATCAGTGAAAAATGGATCGATCATATTTAAGGAGTAACTTCTGAATTGTTGGGATCAACACTCAAGAGTAAATCGGCTGGCTAGCTGATATTGATTGTTCAGGTTGCATACTACCCTGGAACTTGACTTCGTACCTCAAAAGTGTTCCGAAGACACGTAAATACTTTTTCTTCCTCAAGCGCCACCGAACTCGCACCCTCTTTTGTGGGTTAAGGTTGTATTCTCAGTCGGCGTTTGTCGAACTTAATTTCCTCAATCCGATGAAAGAGACCGTCACAGGCTAATGGGGTGGCTGTTTTCGAGAGTACTGTTCCTAATTAATATAAAAGGATTACTAAAAACTCTTCGACAGCCCACGACCGGTTCCGCCCATTCTGGGGCTCATCATGTAGGCGCAGTCCCCGAGTTTCCCTCATACTTATGTTTTATTCGGACCCAAATTGGACTGTTTTCGAGAAATACACTTTCAACCTAGTTTGGTTTTCACGAAAGACTCAACTGAATATGCAGCACATTCAGTTGTACGGTATCATAAACGAGATATTCAGCTGATTTGCAAATGAATGCATTTCTCGATAAGAGGGTTGGATTCACCATCATCATCATCATTGTCAGCTGTAAGAACCGCGTACTGGTCGTACACTGGTTGTAGCTGCCACAGTTTCGTTCACCGATGAT